GATTCCTTCTTGCCCTTGATGAACCTGTCTGGTGTAGTCAAGAACTAAGCAAATCATCGGATGTTTATATCATTGACAAACAAACAGTACTGCCACACTTCTCTATCACCTCTGAACTACCTCACTAATGACGAATCTGGATGAAGGCAATAATACAAAGACGTGCGTGTGCGTGCGTGTGCGTGAGGGAGTTCCTTCACACCCCTCCTTGTTAGACTCCATATTCCTACACAGGGAAAAACTTGCCAACACACACACATCACAGATCTTAGTTTAGAGTAACGTGACGCAATCTGACCCCAGCGTAAAAGTGCACTAGAATCCATTTACAGACGTTCTCCACACTACTCTCTCTCTCTCTCTCTCTCTCTCTCGAAGAATGGCGTAGCTTCACACCTTCATCGTTTCTTAGGTCGTAGAGTTTATGTTGTTTCTTCCTTGTGTATGCTGTTCTGTTTTCGTCCAGTTCTGTCTGTTTATCCTTTCGCCAAACGACGTAACTCTTCTCCCCCGTCTAATGATGATGTTCCCTGTCCTCCTCTATGTTCCTTGATTTACTACAACAACAACAACAACATTTCACCTACTCCTCCCTTGCTCAACCTATCCTCATCCCACCCTTGTAACTATCCTCTCCTCACCCTCTCCTCTCCCTTGTCCTCCCCGCTGTTAGATTCCTCCCCGAGACTTCAAGCTTCACGCCGTCTGACCATTACCAAAGCATCCGGGATTTGTATCAGAAGGTATGGTGCTTGAGGCCGGGATGGTACTAGTTTTTGTGGTGTTGGGTGTGGCAGTGGTGGGAAGATTTCACTCAGGACGGGTCTTAGTTACACACTGATTTTTGTTTCATTTATACGACCTGTTAAGGGAGAGAGGGGGGGGGGGCGTTCTTGAGAATGATTTAAGGAAAGTGTGGATTGTGTTTAGGTCAGTTGATAGGTTTTTCTTTCTTTTTTTTACTTTCTTACTTTTTTTCCTTCCTTCTCTGTTCCTTCCTTCCTCCCTTTTCTTTCCTTCCTTCCTCCCTTTCCTTCCTTCCTTCCTTACTTACTTTCTTCCTCCCCTTTCCTTCCTTTCTTCCTTCCTTCCTTCCTTCCTTCCTTCCTTCCATCCTTGAATCCTGGCGCATGTTGGGGGGTCAGAAATACTAGTCGTGCTACAGTGTAAGTTCTAAAAACGTCGGTGACATTTACAGGTCAGTCAGTGGTGTTGGGCCAAACTGTGCCTCCTAAAACCCTTTCCTTCCTTTCTTCCTTCCTTCCTTCCTTCCTTCCTTCCTTCCATCCTTGAATCCTGGCGCATGTTGGGGGGTCAGAAATACTAGTCGTGCTACAGTGTAAGTTCTAAAAACGTCGGTGACATTTACAGGTCAGTCAGTGGTGTTGGGCCAAACTGTGCCTCCTAAAACTGTCTGGCAGGTGGGGTAGGTTAGCGTTAGGTTAGGTTTGGTTAGGTTAGGTTAGGTTTGGTTTGGTTAGGTTTGGTTAGGTTAGGTTAGGTTTGGTTTGGTTAGGTTAGGTTATACTTAAAGTCAAATAAGGTGAAGGCTGATCTTCAGGTTGATCCACAAAATGTCTTAAAGATTTTACGTCAACTTCTGGTTTGGTGACGTCGGACTCTGATGTAAACAAGGAAGCGATTGTTGTTTGTGTTTGTTTAGAGAGAGAGAGAGAGAGAGAGACTAATAAAACCTGAAAAATTTAGAGATAGAGAAATAAATAAATAAATAAAGAAAAAAAACAAAAATGAAAAGTCCAGACTGGTAAAGGAGAGATGCACTGTGAATATGATGAATAAATTTGAGGTTCTTGCCAACTTTTAATGCGAGTTCCTTCAGTTCTGGCGCGACCTAACTTGGCCGAGGCTCAGAGCATTATGGAGTTTTATCATCTTTAAAGGGGTTTACCTCCCAGTGGCGCCTCCTTATGGCTCAAGTGATATATATAGACATTTTACAGCTTATGGTCCTTACATGCGTCTCATCTCTATCCTGGGTATTATTTTCTTTCCGTGTTTTGGCGATCAATATTACGTATTTTTTCGTCAATAAATATTACAAAATTAGTACTGTATTTATGTATGCATTAGCGTAAGGGTATTGTATATGTATTATAGAAAGACTTACTGTATGAATATGTATTATTGAAAGACTTGTGTATATGTATGAGTGAAAAATTTTAGTAATTTATTTTTTTTTCTGGGCAATATTTCACACGTATCAGGATCCACTGTTATTGACATATGGAGTTTCATGCCACTGAGGATTTACGATCATAATACGTCGCATCATCCTTACAGAGTCATTACACTAATTACGGGAAACCAGTTTTTAATGAAATGAAATCTTGGAAGCATTCGGTAATTAATACGACTTAAGAGTTTAATCATCTCAGCTAATGTCTTGAGATAAGTAGTTCGTGTGTGTGTGTGTGTGTGTGTGTGTGTGCGTGTGTGTGTGTGTGTGTGTGTGGAGACAGGTAAGGCTCTCAACAACATATAATAAAGTGCTGTGGGGACGTGTCCAGGGTCGTATCTTGTTAGTAATGGCGAGAGTTGTATCAATGAGTTGTTTACCATCTTATTACAGCCATGTTTGGAAGCGCCATTACGAAACCGTGTGTCTGTTATTCTAGGTATTACATTTTTTTTCCCAAACTTCGAGCCACACAGATGTTCAGGGTCACACAGATGCTCAGAGTCACACAGATGTTCAGGTTCACACAGATGTTCAGAGTCACACAGATGCTCAGAGTCACACAGATGTTCAGGGTCACACAGATGTTCAGAGTCACACAGATGTTCAGGTTCACACAGATGCTCAGAGTCACACAGATGTTCAGGTTCTCACAGATGCTCAGGGCTATACAGCTCTACAGGGTCACACAGCTGCTCAGGGCCACAAAGCTACTCAGGGTCACAGGGCTACACAGCTTCACAGGCAGGATGTAGTCGAGTGTTACAGTATTCCAATAAGATTCTGGGTGATGATGAGGTTAGGTTAGGTTAGGTTAGGTGTTAGGTTTGGACAGGTAGGGGGAGGAGGGGGAGGAGGAACGTCGTGTGGTCTGGATGGTTGGGGGGAACTGCGTCTCAAAACCTGGCAGTCACTATCTAACCTAACCTAACCTAACCTCTAACTTATTTAACTTAACTGTAACTAACTTTACTTGAACCTAACCTAACCTCAATAATTAAGTTCACCTCACCGAATTTCACTTTAACTAACCTAACCTAACCTAACCTAACCTAACCTAACCTTCTAAAAATTACTGGATATTGAGATCTGCTGAGCGAACTATTGTAGGGGAGTAGTTCTGTAATTTAGTGATACTGGAGGTAGTTGAGGCCAGTGATGGAGGTTGTGGAGGCCAATGGAGGCATCAGGTGGAGGTGGTGGTGGAGGCCAGAGGATGCAGTAGACGGAGGAGTTTGTAAGTGGTAGTGGTGGAGGCGTAAAATTGGGGGAGTTGGAGGTAGTGTTGGAGGGGGTGGAGGAAGCTGTATTGGGGGTTGTATTGGGGGTGGTGATGGAGGTGGTTGTGGGGTGGTGTTGGAGTGGAGGTAGTGTTGGAGGTGGTGGTGGAAGCTGTATTGGGGGTGGTGAGGGGTGGTGGTGGGTGGTGTTGAGGTGGTGGTGGTGTTGGAGGTGGTGGTGGTGTTGGAGGTAGTGCTGGACTGCCACTAACGGAGCCGCTGCCCAACTCGTCCAGGGTTTTTTTTTGTGTGTGTGTTAGCCTGGAAGGATCTGCCGAGAATAACAATGTCGAACCTCCGGCCAAGGAGACCAAATGAAAATACTGTGTGGGGCGATATATAGTGTGTGACTCTTACACCGTGTGGAGAAAGATATATTGTGTGTGAGTTATAACTAGAAGACCTTATAGTGGATGTCATACTAGGAATAATTAATACACGATTATGAAACACACACACACACACACACACACACACACACACACACACACACACACACACACACACACACACACACACATGAATACACACACACACACACACACATGAATACACAACAGTAGACATATAAAAACAAATAATGTAACTTTGATCTTCTTTGAAAATTTACACTCTCTCTCTCTCTCTCGACCTTGTAGGACTGCGTAGTATTTTGAGACAGCCGGATAGGGACTAATTTAAACCACTTGTCTTTTTTTGTGTGTGTGGACAGATCCTTGTGCGTTTGTGTATATCCGTAGGTCTGTGTGTGGGGAGGTGTGTATACTTTACGTGCGCAGGTCTATGTATTTGCGTGTGTATGTGTCTGTTTGTATATTTGTATTTTTGTTTTAATTTTTTGACGCTTTACCAATCAAGTATGTTAAATTTAAATGTGTTTCTGTCGTGTGCTGAGGCCGAGTCCAACACACACACACACACACACACTCACACTCACACACACACTCACACTCACACACACACTATGTATTCCAGGTATATTTTTGGCGTATATTTTGCCCCCATTGTTTGTAAATATATTTTTTACATTTTCTTCCCTCTTGGTCATCCTCCCACAGCAGCCCCCCAACACGTACACTTCTCCCACAGCCCCCCAACACGTACACTTCCTCCCACAGCCCCCCAACACGTACACTTCTCCCCACACCCCCCAACACGTACACTTCCTCCCACAGCCCCCCCCAACACGTACACTTCCTCCCACAGCCCCCCCAACACACACACACCACTTCCTCCCACAGCCCCCAACACGTGCACTTCCTCCCACAGCCCCCCCAACACGTACACTTCCTCCCACAGCCCCCCAACACGTACACTTCTCCCACGGCCTCCCAACACGTACACTTCCTCCCACGGCCCCCCAACACGCCCCCCAACACGTACACTTCCTCCCACAGTCCCTACAACAGCCCCTCTCACAGTCCCTCCCACCCCCCTACATTCCTCTCTGACACACCAACCTCCTACACCAAGATTCATCACTCTATCATCTACTCACCTGTATCTGTGTGCGTCTGTTACAGGTAAGGTGTCGGCGGTACTAGGGGCGCTGGACGGGGTGATGCCGATGATCAGCTTCTCCCTCTACACCGCCGTCTACCACTCCACCGTCGACGTCTTCCCAGGAGCTCAGTTCTTCTTCGGTACCTCCGCTAACATCCTCATGGTCGTGATCTTCATGTAAGTTATTGGGGTTTTAGTCACTGTCTTTACTTGGCGTCATGCAGCAGCAACAACAGGAGTGAGAAGTGAGAGGAAATAAAGTTTTGTTGTGTTACCTCCCTTGTTTTACCCGACAGGTCAGAAATGATTATTTTCAATGTTTATTTATTTTCATTATCGTTTGAAGACTTTATTGAATTTTATAATATTTTTTTTAGTGGTAGTGATTTATTTTTTCTTTAGGCTTGCTATTGGTAATGTGTCAATAGTGTCAATTAATTGTGTGTCTTAAAGTTGCTCTCATATACGACATCGACGCTAATGACATGATGTGCAAACCCAGGTCTTTAACTTCCACTTAGAGATAAAAATTCCTTATTTGACACAAGAGATTCAGTTAATGACATTTAAAACTTCAGTTACCTCATCGTGAATGGAATGATGTTAAGACTTGGTCGAGAATTAATCAATGAATACAAGTTATGACTCACTGGGCATGACGACCCTGAAAGTTGCCTCATAATGGTCCTTTTTTTTTTTACATTGTCTTAGTCACACTTGAGGCGTGATCAAGATTCTCTAAATTGGGATGAGTTAAAAAAAAGAAGAGATTTAGTCGTAAAGGTGAATACAATTGGACTCTTGTTTATACAGAATCTCAGTTACCATTCACGTATACACCTGTCATGACCCCGGATACTCTTCACCACCTTCACATATTGGTACACAAGGTAACGTGACTCTCCCTACAGCGTGGTGATGGTGAGTGACAGAGGCGCCAACTACAGTGTGGAGATGGCCATCCCCGTCACTCCTGAAGGCCCCGTCAAGGAGAAGAGTCTCGTGATGCGTAAAGACTCCCACTGGCTCATAGAAGAGGATAATAAGAGCAAGATTCGCCTGTCCACCATCCTGCTGTCTACTTTCAACTTCAGCATCGAGGCCCCTATGATAGAGAGTACCTTCAGCAAGCCTCTTGAAACCATCAATGAGGAGCCGGATGAGGAGGAGGAGGAGGAGGAGGAGCAGGAGGAGGAGGAGGGTGAGGAAGAAGGGGAGAGGAAGCCAGAGAGAGAAGAAAATAGCAATTCCTTCGACAATGTCGCCTTCGAAAACGGAAACGAAATCTAGTGTTTATGCTCAAACATTCGTGTTATATGTTAATAATAGTGTAGGTATTGTTTATAATGATGCCTTATGTATGTACAAAGATGTATGGTACTAGAGACGCACGTGTAACAGCAAGAGCTCTTTAACTGCTTAGGCGAGGCTGTAACAGCTCTCGCGTGCACGACTCGGCTTAACAATAGGTTACTGCACAATCTCTGCACTATGACGTGCTCTGAGCATCAACCATGACATTATCTGATCATGATCACTGGCAGCCTGACTGATCTGTGATCATGATTGTAGACTATTTCCTGTAAATATATCATTAGATGTATTGTACGTTAGGATTAGTATGCAGTGTTTTAGTCTTACTTGACGGGAACATACACAAGTTAACCTCAACAGAGACGTATAGGGAGTTCCTTATATAGTACAGCGCCATCTATTGGTGGTGAGGAACACCGCCTTCTGTTTTGTGAACTTGTCGTAGGTTCCCGGCGACGGGTGCTCTCTAGTAGTGACCCACACCTGCTCCTGCCTACACTCCTGGGGTGTACTGCCTACACTCCTGGGGTGTGCTGCCTACACTCCTGGGGTGTACTCCCTACACTCCTGGGGTGTACTGCCTACACTACTAGGGTGTACTCCCTACACTCCTGGGGTGTACTACCTACACTCCGGGGTGTACTCCCTACACTCCTGGGGTGTACTCCCACACCCCTACTCCTGGGGTGTACTCCTGGGGTGTACTGCTGCTGGGGTGTACTCCCCACACTCCTGGGGTGTACTCCCTACACTCCTGGGGTGTACTCCCTACACTCCTGGGGTGTACTGCCTACACTCCTGGGGTGTACTCCCTACACTCCTGGGGTGTACTGCCTACACTCCTGGGGTGTACTCCCTACACTCCTGGGGTGTACTCCCTACACTCCTGGGGTGTACTGCCTACACTCCGGGGTGTACAGTAACACCTCACCCACACAACTACACAATACTCACCAGGAAGGTGTTGGAGGTCGACTGTGTAATATACAAACATTTTATAGCATTTTATAGAACGCTTATGTGCCTGTCTGTGTATATTTATCCACCTGTGTAAGTCTGTGTCTATTAAAAAGAAAATATTTTAATAAGTATAATTTTATATACTGTTATTATATGTGTTTAGTTCCATTATATTGCGAGTCACGTCAGGAGGCGAATGTCAGCTGTCAGCACGTACAGCTCTCGTGTTCCGAGTGGCTGTTAATGAGACGTGCTGACAGCTGCTGACCCCTGTACTGTTGCTGTCATCACACAGTACTGTATCTAACTCTCTAGTCTAGCAGGTTACTGTAATGGAAGAAATACACTGAGAATCGCCTCGTTAAGGAGGTGTATGATGATAACCCATGTATGCATAAAAGTATGTATATGATAAACCATGTATGTTTAATGTGTATATATGATAAACAAACCACCATGTATGTATAGATTGTGTGTGTGTATATGCAACCCTCGTATGTATAGTGTTTGCACGAATATCCATACACAGAAGTAAAATCTGTATAAGACGTCACAGTAATTCATGTATATATGTATAATATATGACTCGTGAGGCAGAGTTTTGATGTTTCCTGTAATGGACACGAGACGCAAAAGAAGAAATTTTGTGAATAAAGTAAAGGAGAAATAATTGTGTTTTGTAATGCCGAATAATGGTTGTGGTGGTGGTTGTTGATTTGTCTTCAGTCTTTTATTTTCATCTTTTTTTTTTACTTCAGTTTTATTTTGTATATTTCTTTTATTTTTCTTTCTTTTTAGTTATTATGGTTTTATTTTTACGCTTATTCTCTTCTTCCTCTCTCCATCCTTCCCCCCCCCTCTATCTTCCACTCCTCCCCCTTACCTCCCTCACCCCCTCCACCGACCTAAGCTTAGTGTTCACCGTCTTACCAATCCCAATCAACCTTTCTATTAGCTCTTGAATGTGATTGGTGCCAGGTCTCGCCTTTCCAACTATGAAGAGGTCTTAAAATTGAATCTGATCACCTGAAGATTAGACACCCTAGTTTATTTGCCTTGACTGATGGACCTAATGCGAATGTAACTTAATCGAAGGTAATCTAATATAACTTCACTTCTCTGTTTCTCTCTCTCCTTTTGTTCCTCCCACTCATCTCTCTCATACACAGAATCTTCATAATGACCTTCACCTCTGCTCTATATACTACAATAATAACAACACCATCACCACCTTCCGTATTTACCGTCTTAATCTCATCAGTGTCTAGGGTGAGAAAAACTGCTCCAGCCTTCCTGAGTGTGAAGGTTGTCCAGTGTCTGCAGCCACCCACCGCGGTTCCTGCCGTTACCTCACCTAACCTAACCCACTTGCCTCTGTACCTCACCTAATCTAAACCCCAGGTAGTATTAGGGTGTTTAATTATCAGGTGAAATAATCTGGGACTAATCTTCAAGTGATCTTAATTTTGAACCATTTTTATATGTGTTTTTACATTGGTGTAACGAGAAGGAGTTTGACGTGTGTTTTTCTGAGACCCTGTAGAGAGGTTTGCTGGGTCCTCTTCTGTTTGTTCCGAGTGTGGCGGTGGTGGTCGTTGTTGACAGGCTGGGGCATGGGGTGAGGGAAAGTGGCGTGGTTATCTGATGGTGACCGGGAACGTGTGGTGGTAGGAGGCGTGGTTGTTTGACAGTGGCTGAGGGCGTGTGATGGTAGGCGTGGTTATCTGATGGTGACCGGGAACGTGTGGTGGTAGGAGGCGTGGTTGTTTGGCAGTGGCTGAGGGCGTGTGATGGTAGGCGTGGTTATCTGATGGTGACTGGGAACGTGTGGTGGTAGGAGGCGTGGTTGTTTGGCAGTGGCTGAGGGCGTGTGATGGTAGGCGTGGTTGTTTGGCAGTAGCTGAGGGCGTGTGATGGTAGGCGTGGTTGTCTTGTGGCACATAAGGGTGTGTGGTATGTGTGATGTAGGTGTCTAGTAACGGAGGGAAACTTGTTGTAGGTTTGGTGTGGGTGTTTGTAGTGGCTGAAGGCGTGTGGAGGTGTTGTGGAGGCGTATAGGAGCGAGTAGAGGGGTGTGGAGGCAGTTGTCAACACAGCAGCAGGAGTGAGGTAGGAGCCAACTGGACTAACACCCACTTAAGACAACAAAGAAAGGTCACTTGTTTACTTTTGTCCCCTTCCTTGTGGTGAGTGAGAGACAGACAGACAGAGGCAGAAAGACACAGATAGAGACAGGCAGAGACAGACAGACAGAGATCAATGAACAGTTCTTCCCTCAACTAACCACTTAACGAACGGTATACAATCACCAACACTAATGGTAACTTACACTTGACGAACGTACGCCAGTTTTGTGCCCGTGGTGGCGTTCATATGATACACACACACACACACACACACATATACATACACAAACACACAGACACACACACACACAGTGGACCATAGTAGTAACAAACGACCGACTGCTTATTACCGTCTGTGTGTAAGTTGTTGACATAATTACCGGTGGAGGAGACAACGTCCAACCGAGCCATCCAGGTGAGCTCAGGTCACTGTACGGGTCACTTGGACGAGGACAGGTGAGCTGACGACTTTGGCCCTCCCTCAGGTCTCAGGTAAGATTAAGAATTTTATTTGTGAAGAAACTATCAGTACATATGTTGGTGTATAGTACAGGTATAGTGGTAGGAACGTTTGGGCCACGGGACATTTGGTTTGGGTCAGTATGGTTAGAACCTGACCTAACCTAACCTCAATCAGTAATAATCAATCATCGAACGTAAGACATCTTGGTGGATAGCCTTGACAACACTTACCTGATCGAGAGAACTTTTTAATTGCCACAAAAAAAAAATTAATTCGATTCAACCAGACGTGAAAAAGGGGTGGCTAAAAAAACAACAATAAAAATTAAAATACATAAAAAATCGCTACTTTGAGTAATAATGACAAACTAAATAAGTAAATTATATATAAGACTCGACAATACAATATACAGTTCATATAAAAATTTAGAAAGGTGAAATATTCTTCCATTTATCGTGTTGATGGCGGTGCGTGGCGGAGAGGAGGAGGCACATGAGAGGTGTCTTAAGCGGGGAACAAAGGAGAGAAGGAAGAGAAGACATAGGAAGGGAGAGGAGAGAAAGGAGGGGAGGGAGGGAAGGAGCAGGGAGGAAGGGAGGAAAGGAATAAAGAAGTTAGTGTGAGAAAAAGGAAAGAGGAAGATAGATGATACGTAGAGGGGGTAGTAGACAGGTAGCGTCATGCAGCGGCTAACTCTACCATGCAGTACAACCTCACCTCCTCTCCCCCTCCTCTCCCCTCCCCTTCCATCCTTTCCTCTCCCCTTCCCTCCTCTCCCCTGTCATTTCCATACCCCCTCCCCCAAGGTACAACCCCCTCCCCCAAGGTACAACCCCCTCCTCGTAAATTCTTCGCTATATTACCTGCGCCCGAGGAGTGGGAGAGACGAGGGTGGAGAGGGAAGGAGAGGGTCGGAGAGGGAAGGAGAGGAGGTGAGGTGGTCATGTGTAAACAGAGGACAGAAAGAGGAAGAAATGTAAATAAAGAGAAGGAAGGGGGAATAGAAGTATGGAGAAGACTTTGATGGAGAGGGAGAGACTGAGAGAGAGAGAGAGAGAGATGCTATTAAAGACGATCAGTAAAGATTGGAATAGGATAAAGGAAAGAGAGAGAGAGAGAAACGGGGAACTAGAGAACAGAGGAAGGAATATTAAGAGATAGAATAAGGACGAGAGAGGGAGAGGTGAGGTGTAACAGAGGCTAGAGAGAGAGAGAGAGAGAGAGAGAGACACTGTATGTATGGTGTGTGTTTACAGTATGGTGGCACGTCAGCTGTTGCTCGCCAGAACAGGTTATCTCCGGGGCGAGTTCATTGTGGTTTTCGGTGCTGGATGCCCATCAACGTTTGGGTACGAATCCTAGTGTCTAACTACAACTGACCAGGTATATTAGCGTCAAGGAATCTGTGTTACCTGTAGTATTTCACAAACACTAAAATACCTCATTAATACCTAAGTGTGTGAGGTATTAACAGTCGTAAATGCTAAAAGTAACTTATCTGGGTGTTTAAGTAAATTCCTTTTATAAAGTAAGGAGAGAATTATTTACTGACTGTATTGTAGAGCTTTGTTTTGTACGTTGTGTTGTGATGGTGACTACAACCCACTTACATAACCTGGAACTAAAATTGCATAATAACAACTATAAAACAAACCGTATAAAGTGACAATTTTATAAAACATAATTTTTTTATATAGGAGAATAAGATACCAAATGTAGAGTTAATAATGAATAATATTAAAAATAAATAAAATATAAACATTGAAGGAAATTATTTGCATACGGGAGACGGCATTAAAGTACAGATGTTAGAGATATTCGTGTAATGATGACATCTTTGTGGACCAGGTGATAAGTTTTAATTACAGGTGATTTTCAGAAGTAGGTGTGTGTGTGTGTGTGTGTGTGTGTGTGTGTGTGTCGCTTATATCTAGGTCATCACCCGTAAAAGAAATGTAAATTCGACTCTGAACTTCTTATCTCTTGGCTCCCCAGTGACTTTATTTGGGAGAAGTAAATAGAGAGAGAGAAAATCCCCTTGCAAACACATAAATGCAAATCACACACTTCATTAACTCTATTTTTTTTCTGGAGGAACGAATGTGAATGT